GGGGGGGGGGGGGGGGGGGGGAGGTAAGGCCTGAATAGTGCTTCTCAAATCAAAGACATAAAATTGAACTCTCTCTCTTGTGCAGCTTGTATACAACTAAATATAACCTAAGGTTTGTAATATGAAAGGCCAGTGATTTAATTTGTGTATTGCCCTCACTAGATGACATTTATTTTTCCAAACAGCACACATCCCTGACTTCATATGCAAAGGATTTCAAATGGTCCTATTATCCACATATTTACATGAATTAATTGTAACTACTGATATCGCTTAAGAATATTTTATTGGCTCTAGGTCCCTTTACCTTAGGAATCACGATATTCCAGCAGGCATCTAATTGCCCAATAAAGTGCATAAACAGCTCTTGGTGCAAGTGAAAGTATCCTTCCTCCCTGGGAAAATTCATAAAACCTTATTTGTTTTCAGAAACTGCAGCTCCATGACAAAGCCACCTTTTTGGGGACCTATTTGGAATAATTCAAGCTGGATCCTATACAGATAATACGGAATGGATGGATTTGACAAGTTGAAACATCTGTTAAATGTACAAACTGTTCCATAACTGTATTGTAGAATTACTAACAATAAAAGAAAGAAGTGTTTGACAGCCATTATTTAATCATAGATCTTCAGCCCATGAAATTCTTTCAAATGGCTCACAGAAGAGCTTCATGGTTAAACATTATCTTCAGTCCTGATATGGCTATAGCCTGTCAGTAGCCTCCCTCCATGTGGTGCTCCACTGCTAAATTCTCAACAGGACATGCACAGCATCTTACATGAAATGATTCATGAAAAAAGACCACCACTTTTTGAAGCAGCCTGAGGCAAGGGGATCAGGGTGGCCCAATGGATAGATGAGGGAGTGGAAGGAATGACAGCCTTCCTGCCAGTGTATTGCACTAGTGCCCAGAGGCCCCAATCAGGAACCCTCACAGTACTAGGCACTGTACATACATAAAACAGAAAGATGGTTCCTGCCCCCAGATATTTTACCGTCTAAACCACCAATCCTGACAGATTAAGGCAGGTATTTCATTTTAGCAGCTGTCAGTAGCCCCAATGACTTCAGTGGGGTTAGTCACTGCACATAAACTTAAATTCATACATAAGTCTTTGCAGGATCAGAGCCTAAGGAAGCCTGAACTGTTCAGCTCATAGTCAATATGCCCTCAGACAAATTAGCCAGTGTAGCGCCCCCCCCCCCCATTAATAAAACCCAGCCAGCTCACAAGTTTGATTTCATTTCTTTTTGAGCACACTTTGGTTCTCCCAGTCACAACGGTTAGATATCTGTTTTACCATGTTTCTCCTTACATGGCTATGGAAGTAGTGGCAGGCAGATTAGTGAGTCAATGCTATCATCAGTATTTGTTTGTCAAAGTGCCCACAACATGCTAGTCACTTTCCACACATTGAAGAACAGACAGTCCCTGCCCCAAAGAGCCAGTCACAAAGAGATAGACAGAAGTTAGTGGATGAGGAACAAGTATGGATTTTTGTTTGTTTGTTTTTAAAACACACACAATAATTAGAAAGGCAGGGATGGAAACAGTGCAATCAAGTGTCTTTCTCTACCTGTTCAATGCACTCTTTGGACAACGGTGGAGAGGGAAATGCAGCAAAAATTAACAGTCCAACATAGAGATATGTTAATCCCACCAGGAGATAAGCAATGGAAAGGTCTCTCACCTGAAACAACAAAATTCTCTTTTTATTCTGGCATTAACATACACAGCAAAGTACAAATTTGATGAATTATTTACTGGTTAACAATATACTAAATATACCACACTAGGTTAGTTTCTTTGTAAAGCAAGTTATTTGATAAAATGTGGAACATTAATGCAAGTACATGAAAATAATTCATTGCAAGATTCTGAACAAGACACCGATAATCTTAGCTTAGACAATGACCAAGTTAGCTTTGGAGTTTGATCCTATTGAAGTCAATAGAAAGAGTCCCATTGACATCATTGGGATTTGGGCCCCCATGCACAGATTTTGAAGTATGCTCCCCTCTTCTGCAAAAATATGAAGTCTAGTACATTCAATATAAGCCAAATCTTGCGGTCCTTAGCCTGAGTGAAGGCAAATTTGGCTCTTTAAGCAGGAAGAAGGTACACAAAAGCAGGTATTATAGATATATTTAGATCCAGACAACAACAAAAGGATCCCAGGAATAGCTTCCTCGACAGATGTAGGGTGTTACTGCTAACCGCCACAATCATACAAAGAATACAAAGACTAAATAGAGCCTCTTCAGCCGCCTCATAGACACCCACTCACTAACAAGCCTCAGGAGACATTCAGCACAACTAGCAGTGATAGCCAAAGAGTCCATTGATACCATATGTCAAGTCTGTTGTCAGGACTAAAAGCTGGCAGCTAACACATATCAGCAGACCAGATTCAAGCTATAATGAAAATGATCTTTTTTAACAAAGTGCTTTGAAACCCAAGAGTATGGTCTACTGAGAAATCTTCAAAATGCACACATTTATCACGTTCGTTCCTATGGATGTAACCAAAGAGTATCATCTAACATCTTATACTGTAATACGAAAAAAAAAAAACCCCACATGCTGTAAGAACACAACATGGAAAGACTGCTGGTCTGCTGGTTTTGAGTGCGTGTACTTATTTTTAAAGGCCAGATACAGTAATCCAGAATAACCATATATTTTCCATTTTAATCACTCCATACCTCCCAGAGGCATTGTATGCTTTTAGAACCATACTTTTATATTAAATCTTTTCACTATAATTATTTGCCTTCACTATAGCATTCTGTATAAGCATTGTACTTTAAATTATGGCCAAGATTTTCAAAAGTGGGTGTCTAAAGTTACTCCTAAATCCATATGTAGGTAGCTAATTATAAGTGATGAAATTTCCAAATGTGCTGAGGACCCAATAGCTTCCAATGAAGTCAACGAGAATTGCTGGGTACACAGCCCCTGTGAAAATCACTAATTTAGGTACCAAAATACAGATTTAGGAATCTAACTTTAGGCAATGACTTTTGAAAACCTTGACCTAAATGTATATACATTTAATACATGTAAAATTTGTGTGGACTACACTTGTGAAATTAAATTTTACATATCAAAGGATATTAATTAGTGGAAAAGCAATCACATCCACTTTTGAAATAAATTTTCCAAGCTGCAGAACTCACTGACACATTAACCTTTTAAATAGCAACTACTGTATTAGGCTATTTTAATTTCCTACATCAATCACTCTTTTGGAACTGCATTATGACACCATTTGTTTTTGGTTATTAAGTAGCTAGATTCTGTATTATTTGTCTGCATGCTTTCTCCAGGACATTCACTACCACTTACCTAACGATTTGTTCAGATGATGCTAGTAATCAGCTTCTTAAAGGATTACAGGTAACACTTTTGACACATGGACCTCATTTTACTAGGACTTATAGCGACATGATCAGGATTAGTAGGCCTGCAAATTTGTCCTACTTTTCCCCGCTTATATCGGTTCACAAAGTCCATGTATGTACGCATTTTTCTTCTAGTCAAATACTATGTCTTTTTCTTTAATAAAAATCCACACACTACCAACTGAGTACCCAAGAAGAATCAAGCCAGTGTGCATGACACCAGTGGAACCCTATCTTTTTAGTAACATATCTGGAAGATCCTCTCTAGTTTTCAGTTGATTTTCCCCGTCCCCCATAGCAGGGGTCAGCAACCTTTCAGAAGTGGTGTGCCGAGTCTTCATTTATTCACTATAATGTAAGGTTTTGCGTGTCAGTCGTACAGTCTAACGTTTTTAGAAGGTCTCTTTCTAGAAGTCTATAATATATAACTGAACTGTTGTTGTATGTAAAGTAAATAAGGTTTTTAAAATGTTTAT